CCACCCGACGGCTCAGGCTGGATTACTGTATGGATCTGCTGGTTGCATCCACAGGTAGGCAGAGCTTCACATTAATATCTCTGGTTGGGTGATGCTCTGGAGCATCTGACAGTACTATTGTCTGGGCTCCATGTCCAAGCTGGGTCACCGGGCAGGCTCTCTGATGGGTCAGGGTGCTGGCTGTGCTCTACCGTCAGGTAGCTCCACTAGCTGGACTCTGTATCACCTGTGGTTGGACATGGTTGCAGGTTGTGCTCCCTGGCAGGACTGGTGTCACTGGTTGGTCTCTACAATTGGGCGAGGCTGTAAGCTGGACTCTGTAATTGCTCCAGGTCAAGTGGGAGCTCTGGCTGAGCTCCCCAAATGTACAGGCAGAGCCACAGGCTGGGCTTTGCAATCAGGTAGACTATTGTCCATGCTTGCTGTTGGGCAAGGTCACTGGCCAGGCTCTCTGATGAGGTAGGGCCTCCAGTTGTGTCCCACAGTTGGATGGGACTGGAAACTGTGCTCCACAATCAGGTGGGGTCACTGTCCAGGCTCCCTGGTCAGCTGGAACTGCAAGCTAAGCTCTGTGATTGAGTGGCCTCCTTGCCTGGTGAGGATGTAGGCTGTATTCAGCAATTGAGCAAGGTTGGCCTCTAATACCAAGTGGTATGATAAGCTGGGTTCTGAGGCTGCCCCTGGTTACTGCTTAGGCTCCCTGGTTATGTGAGGTGGGAGACTAAGCCTACAGTTAGACAGGCTTGGTGGCATGGCTCTCGGCCCTGGCAGGGATGTAAGAAAGATGGGCTCCACAACTGCCCAGGTTCTCAGGCCAGGCTTTCTGGTCAGGCAGGACTGGGGGTTATGTTCCAAAGGTGGGCAGACCTGCAGATTTGAACTCCACAGCTGATACAGCCCATTGACTTGAGACCCAAATCAGGCAGGACTGCCAACCACGCTCCCTGGACCGGCGGACCACCTACTGGGCTCTACATCTGGGTAGAGCCGCTGGCAGGTAACTCTGCTTGGACACTACTGCAAGTGGAATGTGGTTCACCAAGATAAGAGTGCTGGTCAGGCCCTGACTGGTTTGGCTCAGTGGATAGAGCGACGGCCTGCAGACTGAAGGGTCCCAGGTTTGATTTCGGTCAAGGGCATGTACCTTGGTTGCGGGCACATCCCCAGTGGGGGGTGTGCAGGAGGCAGCTGATCAATGTTTCTCTCTCATCGATGTTTCTAACTCTCTATTCTCCTCCCTTCCTCTCTGTAAAAAATCAATAAAATATATATTTTTAAAAAGAGTGCTGGTCGGTGTGAACCCTTCCCCCTTCTCGTCCTCTATGGTATCTGGTCCCCGGTGCTTGAGCCTCAAGGATTCCCTCAGAAATTCCCATAGGGCAGAAGCTGAGTGGGCCTCCCAGGAAGCATCCCACAGTGCTGGGGGGATAGGACTCCACCAGGGTGTCCCTCCCTCTGGAGAGACTGTGGGGCCGGAAAGAGGGATGGAGGGGGGCTAGTGAGACTCCCATTGCAGCGCAGCACCAGCCGGGAGGAGGGGCGATGTGGTCCAGGTGAAACTGCTCCTCCATCGGATGCAGTCCTCCTCAGTCTCTGTGTTCTAGTGGTGTTTCAACGTTGCCCCCAGGTAATCACATTCTCACAGTGGTGTCTTGTCTATGCTTAGCTGTTAGTTTGTCTTCTTGGGGTGGGGGGTGGACTGAAGTAGGATACAAACTATATCGCCATTTGATGACATCATCTCCCTACAATATTTTTTTATACACACCTTATTTACTTATCACAACAACTCTATGAGGTACGTTCTATTATTTTCACCATTTTACAGAACCAAAAGGGAGGCTTTTGAATGGCCACACAGCTGGTTCATGAGATAGAATAATATAAGCCAGTTCCATCTAACCCAAAGCCCCTCAGGTTTCTAATATGACTGTGTTCTTGCTGTTCCAATTAACAATGAAACTTGGGGATGCAATGAAAGACAGATTCTGTGCATAATATAAACTTTAATATGTGTTGACTGCTGACTAGGTAATATTAAAAACTAATATTACCAAAAAGAGTAAGAGAACCAGCAGAAAGAGTGAAATACTCTAATATCCAATCAGGGGACTTCTTAGTTGAGAGGAGAGATGGCTTCTGGTTATCACCCTTAAGGTGACAGTTTAATGTATGGTCCAGGACAAAATTCACAGCAGCCTGCACTAGGCAGGGATGCCATTCACACTTCCTGGCTCTGTTCGCCCTCAAGAAATCTTTTTCTGACTTTTTGAGGATCCTTTAAGCTCTTTGAACGAAAACTCAGTCATTGAAAGCAGAAATTCTAGCATCACCTGATCATTCACTAATTTATTCATGGAATACCATTGATTACTTTTAAATAATGTGGTGATTTGGTCAGCTTGTGTATGAAAATGTGTGTTTAGTATGAGAAAGGATAAACTTGGAAAGTCTGAGAATGCGATTCAAAGAGACATTAAACAACTGCTACAACAGTCTAAAAAATGTTGAACTCAGTGAAAATGGGAGATGAGCTAGATTTCATAGATTTTTAGACTTATTCAAAGTGTTGAAAGAGAAAGAATCAATATGACTGTTTCTGGACTTTAAGGAAAGTCAATGGACATGTTCAGATTAATGAAGTTTGCCTCACAGAAATAATGAGCAAAATACAGATTTAGACACCTACAACCTTTGGGTGTTGTCTTATTAATAAGCTCATTTTGGCCTGTCCCCAGTATTTATGGACAGGCCTACAGACTCCCTGGAACCAAGTTTAGAAATAACTTCTAGTTCCCCTCCCCAAAAACAAAATAACCTAGGACTGGAATGTGGATCTAGTATCACATATCTCCTATCACTTCCCACTGATAGACATGGTTCTTCTGGCACCAGTAAAGCATACGTATTCCATCTCATGATTCAGGCTTATGTCATGGTTAAGTTGGCTTATCCACATTCCCTAATTTACAACTACATAAGATTATTGCAGAATCAGTAATGTGATCTGTGCTGTTTAGTTGTCATTCTTTGCTAATGTTTTCAATATAAATAATTTAGACACAATGGAATGCTTTTACATCTACTACAGTATCTGGCGCTAAATGAATGAGTGACTTAAAGAGCAACTTAAATATATATCTAAGCTGACTGATACCAATACAACCTACCAATGTCTCCTAGTGAGAAACAGCATCCAAAATACAGCCTGAATTTAGATGGAATGTTCAGCTCATGGTATAATTTTAGGTCACCTGACTTTACTTTTCAGAATCTTTCAGCTTTTGTAAGCTGTTGCTATGGAAACTTTTTCTATCAAATTATAGTTTTAATCAGTAATTTTAACATATGTATGCATATTCCACATATTATTTTACAAAATTCATATTGACCTCAACTTTCTCTTCTCTCCAATGAAAAAAAGACAACATATATTTGTCCAGGCATCTGTGAGCTGAGCCACACACTCCTCATAATAGTAGTTTCACTACTGAAATCTGTGACCACTGGCAAGAAAAGATATCCAACTATCCCTTAATGTGGCCTCAGAACAAATACCCCTCAGCAGAATGGGAAATGGCTGCATTTTAAGCAAAGCCTGACTCTGGTTCAGCAACAAAGAAGAATTAGCTCACCCACTTCCACTAACTGGAAGCCATTCTTCCAATATGACTGGAGTTAAGCATGACCCTTGCCAGCTGAAAAAAACACATAACCAATATATAGTGTCATTTCAGTTGTTCTGGGAAGATCCTTCTGCCCAAGAATAAACTTTACCCCTTGCTTAGCAATGTCTCTAAGAATATGAAGTTTCTTATAACTAAAGACAGTGTTTTAAATGTATATCCTATATAATAAAAGGGTAATATGCAAACTGACCCTAACAGCAGAATGACTGGGAATGACTGGTCACTGACACACACTGACCACCAGGGGGCAGATGCTCAATGCAGGAGCTGTCCCCTGGTGGTCAGTGTGCTCCCACAGGGGGAGCTCTGCTCAGCCACAAGCCAGGCTGATGGCTGCCAGCACAGCG